TTCTTTCTACTAGAACTTAATTGACAAGAGTTTGTATTCTTGATTTGCCTTCCTGATACATAGGTGTGATTTCCTTCCATTGGGCTTCTATGAGGTTTTTTGTTTCTCTTTTTTCGGTATACATAGACATGTTTATCCCACTTTTGAGGGGAAATGGAATGAAAACTATCAAAAATTATGTGAGAACCAAATCCAACTGTTGGGATTAATACATGTCAATATTTTTTCTTATCGTACAAACCATATTTCTAACAACATGTACACCAACCTTTTTTATTTGTTCGAATTTATCCTTTGAAAGTATTATGCTACTTGGAGTTTGAACCCGCAGCTTATAATAAATTCTGATTTAGCTTTCTCTATTGGGTGCTTAAGGGGGTTGGTTGGGTAGGTGAGATGGTTGCAAGGTATGGGTGAATGCATGCTTGAATCCATCAGAGGATCCTCCTCCTCTTCGGATTCGTCGTGATCAACCATTATACTTTTCTACTTATAGGAGCTCTCCATGTACAGGTTTGAAAGTCTAGAATTACCACTGGTCCACTACCATGTCGTTAAATTGGTTTTCTTCAGCAATAACAGTTTCATTTCTAACTTAATTTCGACCTTTGATTGTAGCAGCTCAAGTCTTGGTACACAACTCCTAACATATCGAAGTCTCACCCAACATGTGGATTTATGTCGTGGATGCCATTATATTTTTCATGTATGGCTATTCATTTAAGTGAGTGCATCAAGTGCAACATTTTGGTAAATGTTTGAATTATAATATTGCAGTAGTTGATAAGTAGTTGTATTAAAGCAGGATTATGGTGCAATGATGTGTTAATCATTGGTTTCAGGCAAATTTTTTCAAAATATTTTGCATCAATTACTAAATTTTATTATATAAATGATGTACACCAGGTGATATTATTCAATTGTTATGTTTTTAGAGGAATTTTGTCGATTAGTTTTTTAAACAATAGTGGGTCAGCATTGATTGACGATCTTTCTTAATTTTTTTAATTTGTGAATTTTTTTTTTTGTGTATATAGTGCTTTCAGGCATGAGTAATTGCTTACTGTTCAGTTGACCACAAAAATGGAGAGGCATAGTGGCTTGATTTTGGGGTATGGAATGAGTGAATGTATTAACTTATTCTTATTAGTTTAAGTTTGGTATTAATTCAGTTTATATTTGTGATAAATAGTGTTAATAGCACTACTAATGTGATTTGATGAGATTATTGATTTAAGTCATGTATATTTACAAAAAGATTTGATTCTATAAGTTGTACACACATGCCGATATTATTCAGGGATAATATTTTCAAAACAAAATTTGACAAAATTTTAAGCAAATAATAGTTGGTACATACCAACTATTGAAATTTTGTTTGCCATAACAGTTATTTGGATCTGAGTGTGTTATATAGGTGGTGAATATAGGTGATATACACCAAGTTGGATGTGGCCTAGGGCTTTTTTTTTTGTTACATAATAACTTCAGTCACGGGCAATTTCTAGTATATTTATATAAGAGAGAAATAAATAGTCATATAATTTATATATGGATATAGATAGATATAAAATAAAATTTTAATGTTAGTCAAACTCCTAAAATTTAAGAGTTGTTAGTTTTCAAATTTGTTTTAATTACATATAACTACTTAGAATATTTTAGACAATGGAGATCAAAATAGACTAAATATTAAACAACTTTTTCTTGATGGACTTACTACCAAATAAGTCCACAAAAGAAAACTGTCTTCCAAATCTCTAAAAAAAGATTACTAAATCCCAACGTAGATTAGAGGGGTAATGTTGATATTTTAGACATTATTTTGTCGTTGAAAATTTTTCAATAGCAAAGTGATCCAGCTAATAAAACTTTTCAAAAGTGAGGGGCCATGCTATCATTTTGTAAATGTCAAGATACTGCTATGTTACTTTGATTGAATTTTAGGGAGTCCATGCATGATTTATGCTTATGATTATTCATTTTTGTGGATATCGTAATGTCTTGTTCGGAAATTGGATTAGACTATGCTAACAATTAGAAAAAATTATAATTTTTTTTTTCCAAATTAATGTAGTTGTTCAATTTGTCGGGATAATTAAGCTCTTGTTGTTAAAACTGACAATAAATCGTACCGCATTTAAATATTTCAATGTCAAAATTGGTACAATCCACACACGAATAATTTACGTCTTATGTAATCGGATTTATATTATATCAGATATAAGTCGTGTTTGTGTGATCAAATTGAACAACTGCACACATAATAAAAAATTATAGTTTTATTTCTTTTTTTTAATTCAACAGTCAGAGATGTTCAGACTAGTTTACGTTTACCTCAACTAATCATTTCTTCAGTCCGGTTAAAAATAGAATATCCATGTTGGGACTAGGATATTTATAAGAGATAAATTCCTCATAACCTGACCTTAATGGGTTGTCAATATTTGAAATCAGAATGTCTAAATTTATGACTTATCTGTATTATCACTTGAACTATCGATTAAAACTATAGTTTTCATTAGACATCCAATAAATTAAGTCAAACTTAAGGAAGACCTGGTTATGGATTTCCCAAACTGCCGCTCAATGTGCTCACCCACTATCAAATGAAATGGAATGTTATTGGATATTAATTGACTACCATTAGAGGGATCCAAAGGGGTTCAAGCAAAACCATTTGTATCCTAAGGCCCGGTTTTGATGACAACCCCACCAAAAGGATTCTTGACTTTTCAAATTCTGTAAAATTTTATTATTTAATATTTAGTCACATTAGTAATCCGATAAGATAATAAATATTTAAAATTAAAACTCATGATATTTAGGTGTACAAATCGTCCCTATTACTATTACTAGTAATTGAACTATCATTGGAATTAAAATTATAGTTTTTATTAGATGGCATATCTGCATTCAATTTCCACCAATCACTTAGGGGTACTCATTCTATTGCACTTGCTTTTAAGAATATGCTGGACCCCCTGTGTAATGAAAAATAAAAATAAAGTCAGATTTACGGAAGATAAATTTCCCAAGCTGCCCCTCAATGTACTCACCCACACCTTTGATGCAACAACATTTGATTGGATATTGACTACCATTAAAGGAATCCAAGCGGTCCAAGCCTAACCAATTGTACACGAAAGCCTGTTTGGATGACAACCCCACCAAAGGGATTCCCGAGTTTTCAAATACTGTAATATTCTATTGATTAATATTTAGTACCATTAGTAACTCGGAAGGATAATGAATAATTTATTTCATGACTGTTTTTATTGATAAATTATAGTAAGTTAGAAAAGTGATTAGTCACATTAGTATTAATGATTTACATTGATTTCTTGTTAAGCATGCTTATTATAATATCATTATGCATTTTATGCACGTTGGATGTTTATTGGTACTTGTTGCACACGTGCATTGCACATGAATAATTTTGAATTATAATTTTGATTATAATTGTTGTTGATTATTTTTATTTTTTCAAAATTGGAGCCATTGGATATACACTGATATGTTCATTGCGCGTGTATTTAGATGATTTGCGATGGTTGGTTTAGATCTCTTTTAAATAGACTAGTTATTGTCTATGCCTGAAGACACACAAAGTAATAAAAAATGATAAATAATAAATATATTTGTATTCATATCCAAAATCAAATTACAAACATAAAAGAGAGATAAATGAATTTAACCATCGGTTATAGTGGGGGTGAGAGGTGGTGGGCGGCAGTGGTGGTGGTAGGAGACGGTAATAGTTGTGGTGGGTGACAATGACTGTGGTGGCGGTGGCGGTGGCGGTGGTTGTGGTGGTGGTGGAGGTGACGACGGCGATGGTGGTGGTGATGGTGGAGGCGACGAAGGCGACAACAGCAGTGGTGGTGACGGTGGTGGTGATGGCGGTGGCGGTGGTGGCGATGGCAATGGCGGTGGTGGCGGCGATGGTGACAATTGTGATGGTGGCGGCAGCGGCAGTGGTGGTGGTAGAGGTAGTGGTGGGGCAGTTTTAAATACTATTTTTTTTAAAGTACTTATGAGAAATAATTTGTAGAAGTATTTTTAAAAAGAGATCTCAAACACACTCTTAGTGACCTATTTTTTCTATTAAATTTGAGGTGTTAATATTAGCCGTTAGATTAATTTTAAAATAAAATTTAAAGCAATTTGAACCGCAAAAAACAAAATTCATTTTGTTTATCTTTTGAAATTTGAATTGTAAGCTACTTTATTATATAGATATGAAAAAAAGTTATAGTATTATTTGAAGCATGAGATAAATAATTAGGTTTAATCTCTAGATCACGTTGACAAAAAAAAATTATTTCTCTATATATATGTAGGGAAATAATTGGGGCCTTTCACATGCATTCACTACTAAGTAGTAAACCATTGTTGATGTATAATTATAAGTTGAGTCTTACATTTTATAAAAAATGGTTTTCACAATATATTAACAATCAATTCTATTTTAAAAGTACAGTTTCTTAATTTATCAATATACATTAAATCTAAGAAACTCTTCAAACAATTTGTTTTAATTTATTTATGTGTGTATATAGATATATGCATTTCTAGCATTCATGCCAAAATTATGGTAATGGAAAATAGTGTATACATAAGTTATTTACATAAGTGTTTGGAGGTTTTCCTCAATCCCATTCCCCCTTAAAACATAATTCTCAAACACAGTCACTTTTAAACTTAATTCTCAAACCCAGTCTTTTTTTAAAAACGTCATTTGAAATGACGCCTTCTCACCTAAAAACGTCATTTGGAATGACGTTTTGAAGTTCAAATTTTTTCTCTGAAAACGTCATTGACGTTTTTAAAGTCGTCATTCAGAATAACGTTTTTTAACATAGTTTTTTTAAATGTCAGTAACAGACGTTAAAAAATTATAAAGGGATGAAAATGTCATTTTGAATGATATTTTTAAAAATTTAGGGGTTAAAAATGTCATTTAAGAAAACCTAGGCAAATGTTTTAAAAAAATTTTACCCTCTCTCAGTCCAGTCGGTCTCTCCTCTCTCACAGATCGGTCCTTCCTCCTCCACCTCCTCCAAACAGTCAGCCCACTGTCTCAAATCGATCGATCTCTCCTCCTCCTCCGCCTGCAACCACCGTCTTCTCCGACGAGACCAGACAACTCAGCCCCTGTCTGACGAAACCAGTCCCTGTTCAACTCTATTAGTTGCGGCTGGGGTTTCAGACCAGACCACTCTCTTTATTTGCTACATTCTCATCTTCAGAAAGGTTAGAACTACGATTTGTGTTTTGTTTTAAGGATTTGTTGGTTATATGGTTTTGGTGGGTTTTGTTCTTGAACGAATTGATTATTTACCTGTCTATTTTTTTTTTGAATTACCACTGAATTTTTTGGAAATTTTGTGTAATATTTCTGTAATTTCATGTTGATTATGTAGATAAGTTTGCTGCGATTTGTTATTTGACCTAATGATTCTTTTTTTGTTTACTGTTCAGATGGGTTTCAGATGAATTTGTTAATTTAATGTCATTTTTTGTTTATTGTTTAGATGGGTTTCAGATGAATTTTGTTTACTGTTCATACAAATTCCTGATAATTATATATATATATATATATATATATATATATATATATATATATATATGAGTTTCCTGATAATGATAATTTTCAATGAAAATTATATAATTTTTAATGAAATAATGATTGGTTAACCCTAAAATATTATGAAAGCAAAAGAAAGAAATCTTGTTCCCCACAAGCCTGTTCGGTGTTGGGACAAACAAAGTCATCCCGAATGTTTTCTAATGACAAAATACACAAGTTTGACGAAAGACTTTTCATGAATGTTAATCCACAAACAATGGCTTGCAAAGAACGAAAAAGGAAGAACAAGAGTGAAAATTTGGAAAGAAGTTAAAATCAAACCTAACAGACAACTCAGAACTACTAGAGTGCAATGACAGTATTGATCCACAACCCCCAAATTTATCATTTGCACAACCATAATACACTTCCTTTATACCTAAAAGCAAGGGAACACAAAACCAATGCATTGATTAGGTACAATTAGGAATAACCACAACAAAAATAATAATCAACTCTTATTATGTAAAATGGTCAAACCAGCATACCAATAGTTGATAATGCTGCTGCACACTTTATGCATGGTTCACATGTAACATATAGATAGCATTTTGAAAATTTTTCAGCAACTTCTAGCCTAGAAAGTCCATTTTTTTGCAACTGCTCAGGTAGATTATCAATAGCTTCCATCTCTGCATGTCTTGTAGCCTGCATTAAATATTAAGTTCCAAAAAATCAGCAAGTAAGAACACCCAAAAGAATAAGAAAAGGTGGCATATTGTGAAATTAGAAGATAGAGATTTGACAAGAACACAATGAGAGGAAGCAAAGAAGTTGTTCCATACACTGCCTCTCACTCTCAACTTATATTTACAGTTATCCATGAAAACCTAAAGGATGAATTTACCCTTAGTGAGGTAACTTATCACAACTATATGAAATAGAAACTATAGTATACTATTTATACTCTCAACAAACAAACTAGAGTAAACATATCATATAATGCAATTTTGGAATATATGGCTATCAGACGAGATCGATTAAATACTTTGGTGAAGGTATAAAACTTTAAGCATGTAATCCCAACTTTGAGTATAGTGGATTTAGACTAGATGGACAACGTCATTTCAAATAAAGTTTTTAAAAAAAGACTGGGTTTGGGAATTAAGTTTAAAAGTGACTGATTTTGGGAATTAAGTTTTGAGGGGGCATGGGTTTGGGGAAAACCTCGTGTATTTATATATGTTGAGCTTCATATGGTTTTTCGTGGCAGGTGAATCTGTACTATGACTATGAGGATGTGATCGACTCTGATGAAGAATTGGATTTGGCATCGATGGTGTCAGCTTCCTATGGAAAATCTTTATCAACACCTGTTATTTAGACATGTATTTTGTATCAGTATAATTTTTGGACATGTAGTTGCTCTTTAAATTGGTTGTGTGTGCTTTGTAATGTTGCAAGAGGTTTTATACCTGTGTCTGCTCTTTAAGTATTCACCCTGGGCAGTTATCAAGCATTCACCCTGCAAGAGGTTTTGTCTTAATCTTGAATAATTTATATATTCAATCAATATTGAATCTGCAGGTGTGATATAAAGTGATAGTGAGTTTATTATCTTCTATTTCTATTTCTAATTGTGGTTGTCTCTTTTCATTTTTTTTTTTGGGAGGGGAAGAAAGAAGGGGGAGCGTTATGGATACAACTGTAAGGTTGAACCACTTTGATTTGAGTGTTATGAGTTCAAGTAGCAGAATAGCCTTTGTGCATGTTGGAGGTAATATTGTATATATTTGACACTTTGCCGACGAAGAACTACTCCTCCAACGAAATACTAGCAGGATCCAATCATGGAAGTGAGAAGTTTGTGAGCAAAATTAATGTATATGAAGATGCAATACTGTGACCTCAGGCAGATTGATCATTGAGGTGGTTACAGGGTGGGGGAAGTTGGTTGCTGCCAAGCCATGAAAATATCTTAGGGGTACAAATATTAGGTGGTCTCCCCCACAAGATTTTGTGCAATACTCTTTCCCTGTATTTAACAGTTCAATATGTAAATGAATTACAACAATGCAATTGCATTTCTTTTTTGTATTATATCTGACATTTTTAAACATCAAACTTGATGGCGTAAACCAATGTGAAAGAGCTTAAGGTGACAGTAATGTGAGGTGAGCGTGGATCACAGCTACGAGGCTCATATATGATGCTAACTGATAAAATAATCAGGGAATTAAAGGGGTGCACACAGTAAAAATATAGTGGTTCACCGACTCAGGAGCTTGGCTAGTCCACTCTTTAGTGGAGGTTCTTGCTCTTTCTGTTTTATTCGCGATGTTTACAAAGTTACTATGGCTTCCTCTTGCCACTAGGGTCGTCTTCCTTTGTTAGGAGGTGTTACCGTGCATTTATAGGGACATTCCCTGCTAAGTGGGATTCTGGCCGAGATTCTTGCCTTACTTCTTAGGGTTCTCCTTAATTCTAGGGGAAGATATTGGTTGGTTGAGATTAGGTGTCTTGATTATAGCTTCCTAACGCTTTAGGAATCTCTCTTGATTATTCAATTGTTGTCTTGGTTGTTATTGTCATTGCTTATCTTGAAGGGACCTCTAGCTCTACTCTTCCGAGTTCTGCTTGTCTAGTCTGACCTCCTGGGCTGAGCTGACCTCCTGAGCTGGCACTTGAGATTTATTTTAAGGTATCATCAGTTGCCCCCTAGCCCTTGGCCCAAGCGAGGGCATGGGCTGAGCTGCTTTTACCTTGGACCAGACCTACACCTAATTGACCTTAGTCTGCATGTGAGATGCACGTGGGAGGGGATTTTTGACAGTTACAACAATCATGGCTCTCTTGGTTCCCGCGCATACCTTATCCCATGTCTTTTAAGCCTTAAATGCTCAAACGGCTAAAAGAAAATCACACAAAACAACCTTCCATCTTCTACACTGTTCACCTTCGTCTCCGGCTCTTTCTCTCTGCGATTTCTGAGCTTTCCTCCACGTGATTCCCTTATTCTTTGCTCTAGACTGTGCTTTCTGGGTTCGACTCAAAGTCCTGCTTTGTTCCTCTCCTCTAATTTTGTTCTTTGGCTGTTGTTTGTTGCTATCTTCCCTGTCTAGGTACGCTTCCTTCTACCCCTTTCTCTTTTTCTTGCCTTTCCTCACTCTAGATCCCTTGAATTCGAGGTGGCCATTATTTTTCTGGGTTTTTCAATTCTTTTTCTTTTAGAATCGCGATCGTTGCCTATCTCCTCGTCTCCACTTTGTGGATTGGAACTCCACTGTGCGAATTCTTACTGTTGGGAGGTACAACGCTGACCCTAGGATTATCAGGGGGTGTTTAGTTAGTATTTCTCCTTTTTATAATTCTTTCGACTTGTCTTTCTCTTTGCCAATCATCTCTGCCTCCTCTGGAGCAACTCCTTCCTCTGTTTCCCTCATAGGCGACAGGTCTGCCGAGAGAGATTCTGATTTAGGGGATGTAGACGATGAGATTGACAACTTCCCCAATGTTGAGGCTGTCGATACCGAGGTGGACTCCAAGGAACTCCCCTCATCTTCCTCTCATGTACCTCCTAGTGCTGACAAGGGTAAGGGCAATGTGAGTGGTGTAGAAGTCATTGGTTCAGACGTAGGGGCTGCCTTTAGGAACGCTGAACTTGTAGGTTCCAACAGACTTACCCCTATTGACCTGAAGGTTCTCAGTACTCACTTTCGTTTTCCCCCAGGGGTTCAGCCCTGGAGTCCTGATAAGTACAACACATATGTTCATCATGTCCATAAGAAGGTCTGTTTCTTCCTAGCAGCTTTTGATAATGAACTTCGTTTCCCCATTCATCCTTTTATCAAAGCTATCCTTTAACACTTCAATGTCTGCCCTGCCCAGCTCTCCCCCAACTTCTGGGGTGTTCTTGTGGGTTTACTAGTTTTCTTTAAGGATCAAAAGCTTGGGGTCCCTACTGTTTTCTTACTTATGGAGCTGTTCAATGTCAAGAAAACTCTCATCTGACGATTTTCTGTATATTTTCAAGAGGACTAAGGTCAAACAGGTCATCTCTGACCTCCCAAGCTCCTATAAGGGCTGGAAGAAACGATTTTTTTTTATAGGCGGTACACGTGGGAGTTCAACTCAGAGGATAAAGCTGATACCCTCCCCATCCCTACAAAGTGATCTGCCCCCGATAATTTGGGTATGTTTCTGCCCAGACCATATTTAATCTAAGTTTAGCTGCTTTGTTAACTTATTTCTTGTTTTCCTTGATTTTCTAGGTATCCGACCTTAGCTCAGCGCTGAAGAGGAGAGAGTATTGCGGGAATTGGAAAAGTGCAATCCAGAGAAATATTCTAAGCTCATCCAACCTTGGGCTCTCATAGAACACGGGTTCTGCCTTCCTGAGGTGAGGGTTGAAGCTCCCCTTCCACTTTCCGTTGCTGACTCCATCCCGCTTTCCGTCGAAGATATATTAGGTAACATTTTTTCTTCGTACCCTCTCTCCTCTTTTCTTAGTCTAAGGGCGAGGCTTAGCTATTCTTAGGTCCTACATGTTCATCGTCAATGGAGCCCACTACTGCTGAACTCAGGGCTAAACTTTCCCAAATGAAGAATATTAAGGGCAGCAACAAGAGTAGCAACAAGAGCAGTGCTAAAAACAAGTCAGGACCCAGCTCTGTCGATGGCTCCACTCCTGCCAAGGTGCCAAGGACAAGCATGTCACTCACTCCCTCTACTCCAGCCATCCCAGACTTTTCTTCCCAAGGTGCTTTTCCTGCTACTCCAAGCGTTGTTGCGTCAGGACATGCATCCCCCTCTGCTTTTGAGGTCGAGAGAGCTGTGGAGACGACCTCTCGGATCTTGGCCTCTCTTAATTCGCTTGCTGCACCAATCAATCCTTCCCTTCCTAAGGGTTCCAAGGCTGTGAATGAGGAGCTCCTCAAGGCAGGCAAAAGTGAGGGCTCCTTTCTTGATAACCCCGACCTTACTGCAGGGGTCCTCTCCTATATTCTTCCCAATACTGATATAAAAAGGATCTTTTCACTGTCTCTTGAGGATTTAATAAGCTCTGTTCTTCATTGATTAACTGCGATAAGTTCTTGCTCACATTTATGACCTCCTCTTTCCTTTTGAACTTTCCTAACTTTTGTCTGTTTTCCTCTTGCCCCAAGTCTGCTATCCATGCCAAGAGCTTGATGAACAGGGTCCTGTCTGCGGAGAATTCTGCCAAAATGGTGAGGGCTTACGAAGTTAAGGTTGTCGAGTTGGCTTTTGAAAATGATGATCTGCGAGCTCAGCTACAAGAGCTTCAAGACAAATGGGGAAGCAGACTTCCACCATTGAGGGCTTAGAAGCTGCGAAGGCCAAAGCTGAGGAGGGGGAGAAAAAAACTAGGGATGTCTGGGCCAAGGCTAGCCAGGAAACTTCTACTACTCAGAGCTCTTTCGCCAATTTAACCAGAGATTTTGTTGCCTTATCTGATGCTAATGGCGCCCTTTGCAGCGACCTTGAAGGGATGAATGCTGCTATATCTGCAAAGGACAAAGACATTGCCAAGCTGCGCGATAATGTTGCAACCAAATGGGTCTCTAGGTGGCTTGTTTTCCAAGGAAAAGCTGAGGAGGTCTACCCTAGCCTGAATTTCTACTTTGATGTTCCTAGCGATGAAGACACAGAGGTGGCTGAAACAGAAGGTGAAGGTGAGCCCCCTGCCTCTTCAGACATCCCTGCTGCCGAGCTCCCCTCCTTTGCTGACCTTGCCATTGAGGCTTCAGTTCTCCCACTTTCTGCAGAGGCCCCACATTCAGAAGCTCTCCTCGTTAGATCGTCCCCAAACTCTGTTGATTTTCCCATCTCTTCTATTAAGCTTCCAGCTTCTGAGCCTGCTTCTGCCCTAGCTCCGGCAACTGACCAACAGAGCTCTGGCCTTATTCCCCCATCAGAAACTTAGGATGCACAACAAGTTTTTTTTTTTTAACTTATCAACTCATTGTTACATGGTTGTAACAATTTTAGATTAGAATGCAACTATGTAACTTCGACTGCATAATTCCTCTTAGATTAGAATGCCTCATGGTTGTAACAATTTTAGATCAGAATGCAATCTTCTCAACTCTTATCAAGTGTAACCTTCTCAATTCTCTCTCTTTCCCCTCTTTGCTTCAAATAGGTCATTTAGGCCTTTTGGAGCAAATGGTTAGGAAGTTTGCATGGTCAGTTTAGTGTACACATCAGGGGTCTAACTTTTTACGGTTTGAAATATAAGATAATGAGTACCTGAAGTCTTACTCTTAAGGGGGGCTTCCTATATG